GACGGGAAATTTTAGGTTGGAAAAATGTCTTGAAAGTGGTTCAGGGGGCCAAGCCCCTGAAAAATATGACAATTTAGGGGTTTCAGAGGCTTATTTAATAGATAGATTGTCTACTAATATATAAAAATACATATCATTTTTTTCTCCCCAATGAAGTGTTTTTCTTCTTTTTTTGTGGGGGGGGGGGAAAGAAAATTATCTAGCACCGCCACTGGAAGTGGGTTCTGATTGTGTGCCGTTCTTGTGTATTATACTATTGATGTGATATATTTGAGGCAAATTAACTATCAACTTTTTGCGTGAGTTATACAGTATAATTTGCCTATGCATGACATATAGAGTAGCATACATATAAATATTTTTTTATTATATGATGATATCCAAGCCTAATTCTTGTGACTAACCTGAAGACTCATTGGGTAGCTTGTTGTGTTCGATAGTCTGTGTTGACTTCCTCCCCTTTACCTCTTCCTGCTCTGGCAATGTCCTGCAAACATCATCTTTATTTCTAATGGTTATCACTGCAACTTTCTCAATTTGGTGTTGATGGGTATCCACACCTGAACTGTAGGCTGCAGCAACAGATGTATTCTGAGACATTCCAATGAACTTGTAGATATTGTCTGGATGAGAGTTTCCATTTAGCTGTTGGGTATTATTTATATCTGGAGGTGGTTGACATTGACTCCAACTAGTTTTGATGTTATCATGAGTAGCTGAAATGCTGTATCTTTCCTGGACAGAATACACAGATGAGATTGTTGGAATATTGGCAGGTTTCGAGTCAGATTGATTCATTGGCAGGTTAGGTTTGCTCCACATTGCAGTACCATTGGATATGTACTCTGCACCAGTTTGATTTGAGTGGTATTGGGAAGCAAAAGAAGGTGTTGTTTCTGACACTAGCCAGTTCTGATATTCCGCTTTGTTCTGATCAATAGAGCTGGTAGGCACTCTGAAGCTCTCTATCCTGGGAAGGTTATTTGCAGGGGAGGGGAACAGCATGAATCCAGGTATAAGATGTGGTTGTATGAGTGTTTGTGAAGAATAATATGGAGTAGCACCCCTACCATAATATTGCCGGTCATGCTTGGATGTCTCTAGAGCATTACCTTCACTGTTATATGTGGTACACTGTGGATAACTGGACATAACAGATCCATACTCAGCATATGACTGCAGTCCAGTAGTGTTAGATCTTGATGTAGTGTCATTTGTTTCATTACTATGGTATTCTCGAGTATATGGCTGTAATTCTTGGTGCAGCTGACCTCTGACAACATGGAGAGGAATTTGTGAATCACGGTAATCTCTACCTCCTAGGTCCACAATGTCAAAATGTGTCTCTGTAGAGTTACTTAAAATATGTGGCACATACGTTTGATGCTTTTCATGACTTCCACCATGGATAGGGATAGCCCTAGTGTGGTTAAGAGGCAGGTGATATCTTCTGCTGAGGTGCATATTACCTGAATGTGATGTTGGGTTACTAGGAACCTGTGGTGTATGAAGTTCTTGCCTTCCATCGCAGACAGGCCCAGTGTGACTGGCATTTTGCTGATGTTCTCTGCTGCCTTGGTCCTCATCACAAGACTGTGCCACATTTGGATTACTTGGAACTTGTGGCATGTGGAGACTTGTAGGTCTTGTGTAGTTAAAAGGCTGCTGATAACCTCTACTTAGGTCCTGATTATCAGAATATGGAGTTACAAAATTTGCTGTTGCTAAATGGTTGCATGATATAAATTCTGTCTTCTCAACATCTGAATGACTTGAATCCATTTTACAGCTTACTGCTAGGTAATCAATACCCGTACTACTAGAAGTTTTTTTTTTTTTTTTTGAGTTTCACTGAAAAGAAGCATTAACATACAGGTTGATTTGATTGATTTTCGAGTCTTATTAATCCTGTAAAAATTACATATATTTTTTTTAATGAAAGAATGTTGAAATTCCTGATAGCTGGAAGACCAGTCTCTCTGCCATTTTCTCCCCGGGGAAGGGGAGAAACTTGCACTCCTAATCGCCTCGCCTAGCTAGAGAGTTCCGTACTTGCAAGAAGTTATTGGTCTAATTTTTGGCGCCACCAATTCAAAGTAAATCCCTAGTTTGAAGTTGAGCAGTAGGCCTAAAAATCGGCCTTTGATCATAAAATCTGTAATAAAATTATATTTACCTTTTTGCCAGTGTCTCCTTTGCAGTAATATAATACGCCCATGATCCTGGAAATTTTACATCATTCACGCTTTAAAAAGGGCAGCGAGAGACAAGTCCAGACTTCTTCAGCAACTTCCTCAGTACCTCGTCGCCTTAGAGCTAGAGATAACTTGCAAATCTGAATTTGTTGGCGGCACAACATTCAAAGTAAAGCACCTACTGTGAAGTTGAGCATTTTGATGATGGATCTTTAGGTATATAATTATTAATATAGCTCCATTCTACAATAAAATCTGTAATAAAATTATAGTTACTTTCCTGTCCGTATCCTTTGCAGTAACACACCAGTGAGCCACCTAATGTTACATCATCCACTCTTAGAAAAAGGCAGCGGGGAGACAAGTCCAGACTTCTTCAGTAACTTGAGGGCGCTTATAATAAATACACGGTAAAACCTCGAATTGAAGCCATGTGGTTTTTTTTTTTTTTTCCCAACTTTGGATGGGATTCTTATCAAAATGCATACGTTACCAACCGTCTCGGGACAGACGGGCCCGCATTTCAAAGTGATTTTGGATGAAACGCGTATTTTGCATGCGTGATTATATGTCACGCATTTAGAACAAGTCTCATGATAACAAATTATTATTATATAACAAATTATTATTATATCACGAATTCAGGGAAAATGTATTTAAAATTAAAAATTGGTTTTTATCAAAAATATAGACCTAAAAACGGTCAGACATGAGTGACTGAAACTGCAATTGTCAGCATCAAAACACGCACGCAATCAGGTAGGCCTAAGCTACAGTTTACGTGAATAGGGGCCATACCGTAATTAAAGTTACTAAAAATTGATCAGTACCGTACTCGCGCAAATAAGCGCCCGGGCGCTTAAAATATTTTTTGCACTTTCTGAGGGGCGCTTGTTCAAATGGGGCGCTTGTTCAAATGGGGCGCTTATTCGAACGGGGCGCTTATGAAAACAAAGTGGAAATTGAGAGGGCGCTTATGGAAATAGATGAAAATCGAGGGGTTCTTATGGGAAATTATTAAATTCAAGAGGCACTTTTTGAATGAAAAAAGATTATTTAGGCGGAAAAGATAATCGTCCAGAGAGCATGGCTCATGACAAAAATGCGTGAATATCATAACAGCAAAATAGCAGATGCAATTAGTGATGGTGGGTAGTGGTTAGCTTGTTGACCATCGGCCGATTGTGATTAGCAGGATGGCAGGATCATTGTATTTTTTCTTGAAAACTCAGACGAGAATGTGCTAAAGGTCAGAAAAAGAAAAAGCGGAGTAGGACTACGCATAGACAAATATGTAAAAAGTGTAAAGTTGGAAATATACTGTCTGTCCAGGGATCGGAGCTCTCACCAGTCCATGAGAAATATCCTCATTTTGATATTGACCTATAGAAGAATGTGTTTCCACTCTGCAGCTCAAATCATGTCAACAACCATAGTCCCGGGATTGATTGGCTTATTGACTTGCTAAAAAAAAAAATCTTATGAAATTATTCAAATTAGAAAGGGGCGCTTATTCAAACGGGGCGCTTATTCGCGCGAGTACGGTATGCGTACAGTTCATTTTTTATTTGAGTAATGAAATATTTGTAGACATAGTTCGGGTCCTCAAATTCAAAATACATTGAAACTCAAATTGTTAAAAATATTTTTGTTTATGTACCCCCTCCCCCCGTCGACTGATGCACTCACGCATTTCAAATCTCTCATGTTGGTTTTGAATGCTTTACATTTTGGGAATTAGTACTATAAAACAAATAGGGCTACTGTAAAATCAATCTGTATCACTGAGTGTATTAACCGACATTGAATCACCTAAACTACACTGTATAAGCCAAGTTTTGGTTTTTTTTTATAATTTTATTTAGTTAATTTAAAATTCATGTACAGTATATGTACCGTACTTTGCTATCTTGAAAAGCCAAGCCCATGGGTAATTTTGCAAACTAAAGAATTGTGAATTTTGTGGTTTGTTTGTGCCCACAATGGTTGGAGCTGAGGTGAGAAAATTTGAGGAAATAGTACCTCTCGAGATGGCCGGAAATGACACTTTTATATAATAAAATTCATCATTATCACATTACCATTATAGTCAAAATAAAACGCCAACAAATTTCTCATGATCTTTAATCAGGGATCTACTTAATATCCAGGACAACTTAGGCCTAATTATAGCTTACTAAGCTTTAACTATATATACTATATTGTGATCAACAAATCACAACTTTTTTCGCATTTGGCACAATTTCTTCACTTTTTATTGTTATTAATATTAATATCAATTATTACTATTGTCATCGTCATCATTGTTATTATTATTATTACTATTAGTAGTAGTATTATTAAACAAAAAATTAAAAGAAACTTGCAAAAGGATAAAAACGAAATTGAACCACAGTATCGCATTTCTATCTTAAAAGACCTGGCCTGAGATTTATGGATTTAAGATTTTTTTAAATCACGCTTAGGCCTATGTGTTCTATTATGCCTATGTAAAACGTGTACTGATGCATATTTACATGTTTAGAAGTATTCATCTTGAGTGATCCCAGGAAAGAATTTGTATTGGCTCAAGAATAAGCTTAAAAATTTTAACACTGTGTATATGATTTGATTGTTCAACTTCATTTGAAGTTTTTTTTAATTTTCAATTTTGCTGTTGGTTGGTTGATTGATTGACGCATCTGATTTTAGATGCTGAGATTTAGAGTCTCTCTTTGTTGGCATTGTTTATTTGTAGCTATAGATAGGCCTATCCCTATTATTTGAGCACCAGTGTGACCGGCCGGCGATTTTCCCTTCACATTACCTGTAAACGATGCGGCGATGAGTTTGGCGTTTTTCCCTTTGTAGTTTTTATGTTTCGGTTTTAATTTTGATTGATCCAAAGACAAACATGCGACTCAGTGGCGGATTTAGGGGTGGGGGTGAATAGGGTGGCTAGCCATCCCCCTTCGGTGACCTCGAAAAAAATATATAGGCCTAGTCACTTGTCTTGTGGGTGTACTTCTCATGTATAGGCTATCCTCGTAAAACATACACTTTCTATTTTAAGCTTAACTTATTTTCAGATGTCATTCTAGAGCGTCTAGCCTTCAACTAATTCCAACAACTCAAATGGAAGGCCCATGCCTCCCCATGATCAAGGAGGGACAGGGGGACACGTCCCAAACTATTGTTAAGGTTGAGAGTTGGTCCCTTACATTTCGTCCGAAATGATAATAATTTCATAAATCTAGAAGATGCCTGAAGATTGTTGAAATGAACTGCATAAATGACCCAGGTTTACGAAAGTGTGCTGTACAACCGGTACTCTATCTCTGCCCACAAACATCTGAAAACCGAAAGGTCCACTGATTAATCTCAGATAAGAAAGTATAATACATACTCCGAGTATTGAAATACACGCCATCGTGTTGGGATTCAATATTTCGACATTAATTATGTCATCATCAGGAAATGATCATCATTCCTGATGATGACATAATTAATGTCGAAATATTGAATCCCAACACGATGGCGTGTATTTCAATACTCGGAGTATGTATTATACTTTCTTATCAAACATCTGAATTACTTATAATACACGACTCTTGTGCGCGTGCCTTTATTATAATTTGAGAAGTATGAGAAAAAGCGTGTAATAACAATAAGATTGGTTTTTGGAACATGGTAAAGTAAATTAAAAATACATCAATGACAATTGAGTTTTAATTTCAATGGAAATTAACAGCGATTAATTTGATCGATGATGGTGAATTTTATTATAAAAGAGTGTCATTTCCGGCAATTTAGGTACTATTTTCCCAAATGTTCCCACCTCAGCCCTTGTGTGGACTAATGTCTCCGAAGTAGGTGGCTAAATTAAGTACATCAAAGACAATGTTTTTAATATTTATTTTTTATAGTACATCACTGATATTAATTAGATATCTATGGTTGCCGAAATTCGCTGGTAAAACATAATGAGAAATTTGTTGGCGCTTCATTTTTACTATATAATGGTGATGTGATGAATTTTACTATATAAAAGTGTTCCGGTCATCTAGAGCTACGCCTAACAAAATGACATTATTATTATTATTATTATTATTATTATTATTATTATTATTATTATTATTATTATTATTATTATTATTATTATTATTATTATTATTTCCTAAAGTTTTCGCACATCAAGCCCAACCATGGTGACAGTGGCGGCGCTAGTGGGCGGCGGGGGGGGGGGGGGGGGGGGGGGGGGATTGAGCCCCACATCGGACAAGTCAACCCCCCCCCCCCCCACCACCGGACAGAGCTCGTCGGGCAGTACTATAAAACATATCAAAATAGGCCCACACCAAGCCAACACATGTCTGTCACAGTCTGAGAGTGCCATTTTCGGCCATCCAGAGGTTGATATTCTTTAAAAAATCTCATTTGGGAGGGGTACCCCTTCTCAACCCCTTCCTCCAGCTCGAGTCTACGAGCTCAAGTCCCTCCTGTCGGACAACTTAGCCCCCTCAGAAAATATATCCTAGAGCCGCCACTGCATGGTGGGTCTGAGGCGGGTGTGTGCTCACAAAATGTCCCCCTCCCCTCACCTTTCGAAACAGATCTGCGCCTCTGTCAAAATCACTCCCCCACCCCCCGCTTGGTGCTTCGCAAATAGGATTATCCATCCCCCATTGCCCTTTCCATTTTTATATCTATACTGTTTAATCTAGCCTATGCTTTGAAAAGATTTGGAATAAATTTATTTTCATTTGAAAAAAAAAATTGAATTGAATTGCTAAATCCTAGATCCGCCACTAACTTTAGTAGGCTGCATTCAACACGTTTCCAAACGCCCGTTAATTGGCGAGGATAGTTTGTCTGTGGTAATAATTTTCAATTTATGGAAAGCTAAGAAATAAAGAAATACCTGATTACAAAGAAATTATAGCTTTATGCACCGGTAATTCGCTTTTATCGCTTTGTTATGCACTTTAATACAATATAACGCGTTTCATACTATATCGACGCAAACGTATAGTAGCAAAAGCGTTTACTCGGTACACAGGCAGCAGCAGTGTATGATGCATGCATGTCGTAAAAGAGGTATATTTGGTATACCAAAACGGACTTCGGTCATGTTCCAACTCCAGAGCTCTTATCTGTGGCGGATCCAGTAAACGGAAAGCTGAATACGGAATTCATAGATTCTTCTCATATAAAATATATGAATTCCCATTGAATGAAAAAAAAAATCACCATCAAAACACTAATTTCAATATGAATTGAATGAACAATCCTGTCTAGGAATTACGCCCGCAAAAAATAAAATAA